CCCCCTCCATCTCGCTTTGTCGCCTCACAATCTCTCCCCCCGAAGTCCTGGAGAACATGCAAAACACCTCGTCCCTCCCCGTCCTGGAGGGCCAGGCTCTGCGGCTGCTCTGTGCTGCTGACGTCAACCCCCCTGCACACCTGAGCTGGTTCCAGGGGACCCCAGCCCTGAACGCCACCCCCATCTCCAGCACCGAGATCCTGGAGCTGCCTCGGGTCCAAATGGAGCACGAAGGGGAATTCACCTGCCGCGCCCAGCACCCCCTGGGCTCCCTGCACGTCTCTCTGAGCCTCTCTGTGCACTGTGAGTGGGGGAGGGGGCGCCTGGGTCCCAGAAAGGGGGCCCCTGCTGAGTGCTGTCCTCTGTCCCCACAGACCCCCCGCAGCTGCTGGGCCCCTCCTGCTCCTGGGAGGCCGAGGGGCTGCGCTGCAGCTGCTGCTCCCGAGCCCAGCCGGCCGCCTCCCTGCGCTGGCGGCTCGGGGAGGGGCTGTGGGAGGGGAACGGCAGCCACGACCCCTTCACGGCCACCCCCAGCTCAGCCGGGCCCTGGGCCAACAGCTCCCTGAACCTCCGAGGGGAGCTCAGCTCCGGCCTCAGGCTCAGCTGCGAGGCCCGGAATGTCCACGGGACCCGGAGCGGCACCGTCCTGCTGCTGCCAGGTCAGGGGCGTGTTCTGGAGGCTGGGGGTGGCCGGGGGGGAGGTGCAGGGATGCAGAGTGACGCATGGTGGCAGAAAGGGGCTGGGGCCCGACAGAAGGCGGTAGGGAGGACAGGGTCTTCCATCTCCTGGCTGATCGGGGACCTGGAGCAAGTTCCACACGGAGGTGGGAAGACGTGAGGCTGCATCCTGGGAGCGCGTTATCCCTCCGGCCTCTCTTCTGCAGGAAAGTCAGTCTTGGGGGCCGGAGTGGTTCCTGCGGCCCTGGCAGGTGCTGGTGCCATGGCCTTGTTCTCCGTCTGTGTGTGCCTCACCTTCTTCTGCGTGTGAGTCTTGGTCCCAGGGAAGGTACAGGGAGGCGTGTGGTAGGGAGTAGGAGAGAGGTGGCTGAATCCCAGAAACACAGAGCCGAGTGGATCCAGAGGGGTCTTCTCCCTTTTTCCTGACAGCTTTGCTGAGACACACTTCACGTTCTGCACAGTCGAGCCATTGAAAGTGTGCAATTCAGTGGCTTTAGGTGTATTTACAGAATTGTGCATCCTTCATCACAACCAGTTTTAGAACTTTCTCATTAGCCCCAAATGAAAAAGAAACCAGTGAATTGGTTCAATTAATTCTCCTTCTGCAGACACCCCTTGGGGCAGCTCCAAGATTGCACTTCTCGGCTATTACCAGTAACACTGCTATAATCATTTGTGTACAAGTTTTTGTGTGTAAGACGGGGTCTTTAGTGATGGATATTCAGTCCTTGGCCACCTTGTCCGAATCCCTGGTCATCCGGGAGCGTAGAGCCCCTGCTTGCATGTCAGGAACATCTCCAAGTCCAGTTCCAGGGCCTGGATGCCTCGGTCATCATTGTCACCATCTTAACAGGGGTGGGGGCAGCCTGCTCACATGTGCCTCAGCCTTCCGGGCTGCATTGTGCTGGTTTCTTTCCCTAGCGTGAAGGCCCGCAGGAAGCAAGCAGCGAGGAGACCAGAGGAAAGGGATGATGACCCTGTTATGGATACAGTTGCCTGGGTGAGTGATTTGGGAATCTTCTCATGCGTGGGGACCCCTAAAACATGTGCACTCAGCGAGTCCAGACTGAGGTCCTCAGCCTTTCGCCCAAACCCGCTCCTCCCCAGTCGCCTGAGCAGACACTTGGGAGTCACTGTGTCTCCCGTTCTCTCCCTTCTTCTCCCAGAGCCAACAAATCACTATGTCCTGTCCAACCTTCTTTCTAAGTACAGCTATTAATGCGTCCACCCGTATTGCTCCCTGATCCATCCCCAGTAACCACTGTTCTGTATCTTGTCTTCCCAGAGTTGTCACATATAGGTATACTTGAAATATACACTTAGTTTTAATCGCTTCTGAACCTACAAAAGATATCACATACCATGCCCTGCGCCATCTTCTTGGACTTGCTTTGTATAATAGATGCAACATTGTATTACAAAGATTCGTCTATGTTGTTGTACAAAGTTGCAATTTATTCATTTTCCCCACTGTATAATATTTCACTTTATGATTATGTCTGTTATCTAAACTTACATTGATGGACATTTGAGTTGTTTTCCAACATTCTCATTCATGTCTCATTGTATGAGTATGTAAGAGCTTTTCTTTAGCATTACCTAGAGATTTAATTGCTGGATCACAAGGCATGTGGATGTCCATCTTTACAGCATCATCAAAAGTGGCTTTTCAAAGGAGTTGTGTCCATTCACACTCCCATCTATGCCTATGAGAGTCTGTTGATCTATAATCTCTCCAACGCTTGCTTTTCTCAATTGTCTGGTCATTTCACTCCCTCAGTATGGTATTGATTTGCATTTCCTTGCTTACCCTTGAAGATGAAAAGTCTCTCTACGATTTTACTGGCATAAGTATACACTCTCTATAAAATGCCTGGTCACATCTAAAGTCTATTTTCCTACTGAGTGTTTGCCTTTTTCTTATCAAATTTGTTGGAGGGCTTTATACATTTTTATACTAGTTTTTTTTCTGGTTATATGTATTGTAAACACCTTCTCCCAGTGAGTAGCTTGTCTTCGCTTTTCTTAAGGTGACCTTTAGTGAACCTAAGTTCTTAATTGTAATATAATCATATTCACCAATCTTCTCTTTTCTACCGGGTGCCTCTTGGGTCTCATTTAAGAAAATCTCTTCCATTCTGACATTAGAAAGATATTCAAATAGAGTTTCTATTGAAATTTTTATGTTTTCCTTTTGGCATTTAAGCACTTAACCAACTTGGAGTCTGTGTGTGGTGTGCGGTGTTGAACAATCTATCTTCCTCCTTTTTTCGAATACCCGCTTCCTCCCTCTGTCCTCCATTGAACTGCAAGCCATTTCTGTCACATATTAAAATTCTGTATATGGGTGGACCTCGTTCTGTGGTCTCTATTCTATTCCAATGGTCAATTTCTCTGCCCGCAAGTCAGAACTGTCTATAGGGTCAATAGAATCTATAAATTCAAGAACAAGTGCTAATATCTAGAGAGCAACACCTCCTCTTTAATATCCTGCAATACTGTCTTGGTTATTCTTGGCCTTTGTTTTTTCATTTTGATGTTAGAATCAGTTTGTCACGTTCCAAAATCTACTCCTTTTGCTATTTTGATTAGAATTACATTGAATCTATGGCTCAATTTGGGAAGAATTTATTTGTTTACAAATTCAAGTCTTCTTAGCCCCCAAAATAGGT